TGGAACGCATTCCTGAACGAATATGGGAAGCTTTTACTCGAATATGGTGCCAGCATTTTATTAAAAAAATGAAGTATTTTGTAATTTTTTTAACCATCGTTTGAACTACGGAAAATATAAATACACCATTAGATAGAGCTCGCCGAGTTCTACTTGGAACGGTTGGAACGCATTCCTAAACGAATATGGAAAACTTTTACTCGAATATGGTGCTAACTTCACCAACGTGATAAATTTCAGTTGTGGCAAGTCTTTCATTCCCTAAAGATTAGTGAAAACCTGTGAGGATAAGAGACCGGCGGTATCGCACAATTTTAATACCGTCTCGTATCGCGTACTACTACTGTGTGAGTTTCAAGGCATACCGTCCCACGAAATACCGTACCGCTGATAGAAAATTCTCCAAACATTTTTTAGAGCTCTTCTGATTTGTTGCTTTTCATATATGTCATATAAGTTTATTTGTCGAAGAACATTGATAGGAGAGTATTAATATGCATAGACTTATAATTATAACCGTATGCGTAAAAAGTATTTCAGGAAGACATGATCTGATTCGACTGATACACGCTGATGTGCAGCTTCATCAAAACCGTCATCATCATAATAAAATATTCTATATCCTTCTATATCTATTGCACTATTAAGTGTTTTTATTTCTTCAGAATTAGCTCTAAGAGATCAGACAATTTTGGAATGACTACATAGAAAAATCAATTTTTACGAAGACGATAAAGTCTCAGGCAAACATACGATGGGATAGTTTTTTATCACTCAATTCACTTATCTTTATTGAGAAGTATGACACTGTTTGAAACTTATGGATATTGTTAAGCAACTCTTGTGTGAGGCAAAATATCAAACTTCTTGGGAATATCATTAATATTGAATTTCGCGGAAAAAGCAAACGAATGTTAGCAAATAGTTAGAGTTACATGATTTTAATCGTTCGAATTGTCGAGAGTAACATGTGAAATCCTATTGCGTATTAAAAGCTGTTGAATCGTTCAACGATTATATTTTTTATCAGATACGGAAAAGTAATGGACAAAAACGGGAAAAATATAATCTCTGATATTTTATGCATACGTGTTTTAATTTCCAGTTTTAAATAAATTAATAATTTTAAGCTAAGAGCTGCAAATATACTTTTAGACTACTATGTAGCTGAAGATAGGGCGCAGCGCTCATTTTTTAGTTAAACCAAGTCATCTCAAGGGACTTGAAGACATTCAAGGCGTATCTCGGCTTAACTATCGGTGTCAAGTTAGCACCAATAAACGCTAGCATCATTTAGCTAGCATATTGCGGCCAGGTCAATGTGTTATGTCATGTGATGGTGGCTATGTGTAGGGGTGGACCATTTAATTTAATTCTACTTAATTAACTGCTAAACGATTAAATAATCATAATCTGTGATCCTTTCTGACAAATAATTATCTATAGGACGCAGCATTAATCACATGTACCCTGGTAAGATACTCACCTCTCAGATTAATACCATCGTGGGAACCAGTATGGAAAAACTCTTTATTCCAAGGACCATTACATCGAATTCTGATTGGTCAATTTCGGCCAATCACCGATGACCGTGACTTTTTTTTCAAAAACTTATTTTCACTGGTAATCCACCGGGGAGGCCTTACATAAGGATGTTGTTTTGACTTTGGATTGTATTGGGCCTCCANAGAGATTGGTATTGGCTGTTAATTTTCTTACAGGTCGGCAGCGTTTTACTCCGGTTATGCGATATTAACCATGGGCCTTTGAGTTTTCGTTGATGAATCTATATTTGCAGAGTCAGGATGGATCTACAATTGCCTCTGAAGCAATAGAAGATCTTTCTTATACGTTAATCACTTAATAAAGTGGAAATTAACGGAAATGGTCCACCCCTAGTTTAAACTCAAAAAAAAGTGTTTGAAGGCCTTCAAAAGTGAAACATTAATTTATCGCATACCAAACAGAGTTCGATTCCCTTCTGTTTATTAAGTGATTTTCAGTATCATAGAGAAGCTTAACTTGTGTCTGACTATGAAAAAATAATCCAAGAAGACGTTCATGGGTTCTGTAGTAGTTTATTTACTAGATACAAGTAACGCTCGTCTAGCGACTCGCTCAGCTCTTTCTCGTAGAAATCGTGCTTTCAGATATTACACTTTAAACCTATTATTGTGTATATTACTTTATTTTTAGTGTGGAATAGATATTTTCACAAAAGTATTGATAGATATTTATACCAAATATCAAATTGAGAACCAGATATTCTAAATAAGTGTCATTATAATTAAGTAGATTATGAGTTATTACGTGAAAAAAGAAAATAAGAAAACACGATCGGAAATATCTGCTACAATGAGAAAAGAAACGATTACTACTATAATTAAAATAAATGTAAAGAAAGAGGTAAAAAAATGAAAATATACGAATAGTTATTTTAAGATAATTTGAAAAATGATAATACATTTTATATGCTTGTAATAACACTAAACTCTTAACCAGTGTATGGATTTATAGACGTTCAAAAAGCGGAAGAGGTACATTCTCATTTTGTCTTTTTCTCAAGTTCATCTAGACGTTTCAGTTCAGCGTCTTGAGCAAGAAAGGGCCGAACTTGTAAACAAGTTATAAATGTTTTTCTGAAAATCGGTATCCTTGGTTTGAAAAAAGTTTCTTTAATTCTGAAAAAAGTAACATAAGATTTGTCTTCTTCGACCGCCAAATCTCTTCGGTAAATTTTTATAAAAAAAGGCTGTTTTTACAAAAAAGTCGCCCTTTGCGTAAAGAAATGATCCATGTAAACATTTGAAAAAAATAACGCCAGATTCGAGTTCATCGATCCAAAAAACTCCTTAGTCAAGTTTTATAAAAAAAACTTTTTCTTGTAAAAAGCGGCCCTTTGCCTAAAAAATCTTTTTTTCTAAAAAAAGATTTTAAAAACGAACATCAAATTCGAATTCCTCGATCTTTAAAACCCTTTCGTCAATCTTTATAAAAAAAAAACTTTTTTTCATAAGGACATGATCCTTTGTCTCAAAAAATTTTTTTATAAAAACATTTCGAGAAACTAACATTAGATTTGAATTCCTTAAGTCCAAAAACCCTTTGGTGAAATTTTATAAAACAAAATTTTTTTGTAAAAAAGTGGCTCTTTGCCTAAAAAAAATTTTTTTTATGAAAAATTTTTAAAAAATGACGTCGGATTCGAAGTCTCCGCACCGAAATACCTCTGGAAATATCTTTTCCAAAAAAATCGATTTTGTATGTTTTTTGACCCTGCGGACATACAAGCGAACAAGCAAGCAAACAATTTGTGTTTCTAAGACTTTTCTCTACGAGAAAGAGAATATAAGAACAAGTAACGCTCATCCGTTGGATTCGCTGACCCTTTCTGAAAGACTTTTCCGAATGCTGAACACATTCATAGACTTCGAAAGAGAAAAAACGCACTACGATTGCTACTAGTGCTCAACTGAATCATGGCACTATGTCACACACTGGCACTAGGACAATTCGTCGACGGACAATTCGTCGACGGACAATTCGTCGCGGACAATTCGTCGCCTGGACAATTCGTCGACGGGCAATTCGTCGCCTGGACAATTCGTCGCCATCATAATATTATTAATTGGCAGCATTACATATGTAAATCAATTAATAAAAAAAGCTACACGATCACCAAAAATGTTGTTAGTGACACTAAGTGGAGCCTATCAATCTAATGGTACTGTGAACAGAAAAATACGAATTACTTGAAAACTAAATACAGAATGTNACATTATTTCTGAGCATGACATCTCCTTTTTCACTGCGAAACACAATCTCTATTTCATGAAAAACTACGAACGATATCTACAACCGATCGTAAAAACGACTTCCCAGTTAAGATTCACACCTACAATCCATACATACACACACAACTGCGCATATCTGCGAACATGGAGGAGAGCATTTCTACCTCTCGCAATGTGTATTTCAACCATCGAAATACAGATTCTGACTCGGAAAGAGAAGCGCTATTTGACGGGAAAACACCCGAAAGGATATCTCGGATGGCCACGAACTTCGGACCCGAAATCGACATTTTCATTTTCTCTGCAGCCACACACGTTTGCATTGTATGTGCGAACATGCAGGAGAACATTCCTTCGTGTGAGGATATCTGTGTATAGGTGAAAATGTTGGATGCAATTTCGAATTAAGTGCTCTGTGCGATCCCAGGTTATTATGGCACGGTCGGTTCCAACCGGTTAAGTTCGTTTTCCGACCATTTCCTTGCCCCCGGATTCCGGCCGGAATCCGGCGGCAAAGAACCTGCCGGAACTTGCTGGAATCGGCGAAAACTGTGCCGGAATCGAGAAGAACTGTACCGGAACCGACTCAGATTTCAACGGATCCAGTCGCCGGAATGATCGACCTGGGATGGTATAATTTTGGATGGAGGATTCTAGGATATAGTAATAGATAGGATAAGAGAATATTTCATCGTTGATATTCGCTACATTTTATGTATTTTTCATGTGGTTCGATCTGTAGATACACTTTTGTGTGATTATTTGGTTTTGGAACGCGAGTTAGATGGAGATGGATGATTAGTTAGGATGAATATACTTGTGAAGGTGAAGATACGACGCGTAATAATGGTCGGTCTGATCGTGACGGTATGGAATGGAAGCGCATGATCTGTGCACGTATCATAGTTGGTTATCACGATTGTGTAAGAGATTATGTGAGCATATGTGCTTTCAGTTGGACGTGTTGAAACTAATTTCATTCATTTACTATTTCGGTTTGGTGAAGCTGGTTGCTCGTCTCTCTGTCAGAAGTCGCTCGGCATTCGTGTTGAATCGTCCTCTCTGAAATTAAAAAGTGTAATACTGTTTTGGATAAATTCCATTCATTGTAGTGTAAGTTTTCAAGGTTGAAAAAGGATGTGATTGACAAAATCGGTGGAGATGACATCGAGGTTTAGATAGAATGTAGCGTTTTTTTTCTAATTGATTTCCTTTTCGTTTTGATTTAGTATGGGTCCATATGTTTCGAAAGTCTCAAACTATGATACACAAATTATTACATACAATTGGTGTGATGCGGCTAAATTGCTTGAACAGATAACAGCTGTGATCAATGAAAAAGTTCGCAATGGAGTTCATAAACTTGTGAGCATACGTGCTGTTCACAATACAGTTATGCTCATTAATATGCTACTGTTTTTACTAATGATTGTTGCTATCGTTATCTGGTGTTTATTTCAGCATTGTCGAAGTACAGCTGTAGCGATAAGTGTCGTGGACGAACCGCCGGCTTATTCGATCGATACTCCAGCATCGGCTAAAAAGTCTCCAGAAAAAAATGAAGATGGATATAAAGTCTAATATCCTCGATGACATCGCGTGAAATGACATTTTTCTCTTGTTTGTGCATGCATTTCAATAGATTCATAGTTAGATTGTAGCTAGATGTACTGATCATTGTTTCATTTTTATTCTCACTTTTTTCGTTCAAAATAAAGTAACAATCATATTCAATATTTTTCCTTTAATATGATCATTTATAAGACTTCAGTTTTGTAAGCAAAAAGGAAAAATCGTTACTTGTACGAGTAAGTTATATCATGCATCCTTAATGATGATGGACAAGCTTTTGTTGAGTACGTGATTAGAAAGATTCGCTCCTTATATCTCTTTTCATAGCTACATATAAAAAATAAAAACAAACTATTAGCTCTTATACAAACTACATTCGAAGAAGCACATCAAAATTTACTTATATCTTTTTTTCACTTTCTGTTGAATATGGCTTTCAAAATTGGTAATTTCGAAACTAAAAATACGTACAGCATGACTGTTGGAGGTGATGCGAAACATATTAATGTTCATATCGCTGATGGAGCACTTAAAGCAAATCATACTCCAGTTCAAGCGGCAATGAATAGTGCTGGTAATGCTGCAAGTAAGATAATCGAAAGTGGTGCTAGCTTAATTACTGCACCAGTAACCTGGTTCAAAGACATGCAAGAAAATTGGCTGTCATATATGATTGTCATTGCAATTATCATTGGGTCAATTGCATTTTTATACTGTGCTTTTCTGTTTTATTGTAATCGATGAAAAGTGGTGCAACACAAAGTCAGTTGATTGAACTGACTAAAATTATTGGCGAGAAGATTATTCCCACTCCACAACGACCGCCATCGTCAGCAATATCTCCACTAAACTTTCCATATTTGGCACGAAATTCACAGGTTTAATCAGAATGAAAAAAAGAAATTTTAAAGAACAGTTTTCACAATTTCAAAATATTCGTTGTGGTCTATTTGTTTCTCTTTCAAGATTTTTTTCTGCATATTTCAATGCTGTTTCACTTATACGAATTATTCTAGCTTTGTTTTTTCTTTATTGTTACAATGAAAAATTTCAATAAATGCATGCGAGTTAAAAGTAAATTACAGTCAACTTTGCTTCCAGAAATATCGAAGAAGAGAAGATAGCAGAATTATTTCACATCACTAACAAACACGTTCGCTATCATATTGCTCTGATTTCAAAAATCATTTTCCAAAAAAGAGGATTTCTCTCTTCAATGCTATACAATGCACTGTACACACGTACGTGCGAATAAGAAGCGATTCTAACACCATCTTTTTCTCGTTTCATCTGTCCTCTCATTTTCAACCATCGATTAAACAAAAGGTAAAAGAACTCGGATTAGATACAGTAAGGTGCAAAAGTCTTTGCCCTAATCATAGCTTGTCTCGTCCACGATATATCTGTCGAAGTAAATGGAGAGATTTTTCGAGGATTGTCTGACACGTGACGGGAGATATATATGTCTATGTATATCACGAACCGTTGTGAACATTCTTTCTATGTGAGAAAATGCCTGAACAACGTAATCTAACGTCGATGAAAATATCTCGTTCAGCTATATTATATCACTGGAATAACGGCGAACGATCTCCGGAAACAATTGCTCGTATGACAAAGATTCCACTTCGAACTATTAAATATAATATTGCCAAGATCAAAGAACAAGGTACAATCGAGGACAGATCGCGTTCTGGTCGACCTCGTAAAATGACAGCTAATGATAACCAAGCGCTGGGCCTATGGATTCGACGGAATAATGAGATAATGTCACAAGAATTAGCAGAAAAACTACTTCGTGACCGAGATCTGAACGTATCCCGATGGACCGTGCGACGTCATCTCCAACGACTTGGTTATAAAAGTACTTTGCCTCACGGTACACCAATGTTGACTTCAGAACAAAAGGATGCACGTGTTCAATGGGCAATTGAACACCAAAACGATGACTGGAGCAGAACGATATTTACCGACGAAACCTGCTACCAATTGTTTCATAATACTGTTCGTCGATGGTCAAGAAATCCGAAATCTGAAGTCAAGCGAATTCCAAAGAACAGACAGAAGATTATGGCGTGGGGAGGGTTTAGTATCAAGGGTCTCGTGGGATTTCATTCGTTCAATACAATAGTGGATGGCCCGTACTATGTTCAAATTCTTCAAGATCATCTCATTCGCAATGCTAGAAAGCAATTTGGCGGACGATGGCGACTACAACAGGATAATGATCCGAAGCATAGAAGTCGAGTGGCTCAACAATTCATGTCGAAAGAAGTGCCTGAAATGCTCAACTGGCCATCAAATAGCCCGGATGTTAATCCAGTGGAAAACCTCTGGTCCATCATCAAGCATCGTGTCGAGAAACGAAAACCAACAAATCTTCAAGAATTAGATCTATTTTTGCATCAAGAATGGATCAAAACTGACATGTCCGTCCTAAATCATTTGGGAAATTCCATGAAATCACGATGTTTAGCTCTGATTGAAACGAAAGGAGAAAGAATCAACTATTAAATGAGATAATGTTGTACCTTGAACTGTACCTCATCTTTGTATGTATTTTGTGTTTATATTGATCATTTCGTTTTTAATAAACATTTGAAATAGCGAGGGCAAAGACTTTTGCACCTTACTGTGTAACTGTTGATTTAGATTACGAAGATCTGAAGATGGTAGTTTATTAATTTGGATCAATCGAGATAAAAAAATTTTCAATGGGAGAAAAAGGAAATAATATCTTATTTATTTTATTACTTTGGCCTTTTTCGTTCGAGTATGAGTAGCCTGTGATGGTGAAAGCGAAAAACAAGAAATAACGATTTTATCAGTGAAATATTTCGAATTATATCTTCCCCTAAACTAACTAAGGTTTTCAATGTTATATTTTTGCCGCGTAATTACTGTCTCAATAGCTTATTAAATTAGTCATTCATCAATAATATTTTTCTTTTCGAAACATCGATCATTTCTTCAAGCAATCTGAAGGTTTACGAAATAAATATTTATTGACATTAACCAATACATTTTCATATAAACAGAACAGTAAAACACGTGTGCTTCAAGCTCGATATATTCGTGTCCTTACAATGTCTACAACCAAATTTGAATTCTTACCAAATGAAATTTTATTGCAATATTTTCGTTATCTGAATATCATCGATATATTTTATTCATTTGATCAATTAAATCATCGTTTCAATTCTCTTATTCGAACTATTCCATTTTGTTTAAACTTTCAAAATATTCAAAACAAATTTCAATGTGAAGAATTTTGTCAGAAGTTATCAGCTGATGAAACAATTCGAAGTCATCTTTATTCCCTATATTTATCAAATGCAAATACATCATATCCAGTTCATTTATTTCTTTCAAAATTTCCACTTTTACAATTCGATCATCTTTGTTCATTAACTTTACATAAAATAACACCAAACAATTGGAAATGTATTCGTACAAAATTATCATCAATACCTAAATTATGTTCTTTTCAAATGATTGATTATTCTAGACAATTAGATGATCTAATATTCGTACTGCCAATATCAAAATTACAAACTTTAATCATCCCTGACCAATTAGTTCTAATGCCAATTTCCTTTCTTCATTGTACATCTCTGATGCATGTATCAATTAATACATGTGATTTATATGATTTATTTATTCTATTGAATAAGGCATCAAAACTGAATTATTTAAAAATAGAATATGTTAATGATAGAAATATGGAGTTAGTAGATTCAAAATATATCGACAATTCGGTGAGCAATCTGCGAACATTACATATCAATCAATTTCTAAGTAAAGCTCATTATCTTTTTATGTTGTTGAAAAGAACACCAAATTTGGAAAACTTAGCAATATTTCATAATAAAGATATAAATTGTATTAATGCTTATGAGTGGCAAAATTTCATAACTTCTTCATTACCTCATTTAAAGAATTTTAAATTTCAATTTTATGTCAACTTTTTTTCACGAAATAATGGCGTTGAACAAAGATTAAAAGATTTTCAAAGTAGTTTTTGGTTTATTGAACATCATTGGTACACAGAATATATTATATCACAAACTTCAGCATTAATTTATACTATCCCATATTCATTTGATAAATTTCGACTTCAACCATTTATTGATAGACATTATAACGAATTAATCGGTCATCTTGATACATTTAATAATGTGAAAGATTTAACACTTCATTCTCAAAAATTAACAGAAAAAAGTCAGTTTTATTTTTCTAATATTGTTTGTTTATCATTTGAAGGTACATATGTAACATATGACGTAGATAACCAAGTAAAATCTGGTGAATTAAAATATCTACAAACGATGATTAATTTATCAAACATTAAACATTTGAATCTATTCGACGTAGTACGATCTAAATCAAAAGATGTATTTGAAGAATTATTCCAATCTACAACACAATTATCGTCATTAAAAATCAAATATTGTGATTTAATATATTGGTTCGATGATGATGATGATGAATTATGCAAATATTTAAACAAAATAATTAAAAAATTAGATATCAGTCGCAGTTTATTAAACAATTCAGATCAATTAAAGCAATTGTGTGAAATATTTTCTAATCTTGAACAACTCAAATGTTTTTCAAATGCATCAGCTGCATTATTGTTAATCAAACATTTACCTAAATTAACTCACCTAAAAGTTCATCTATATTCAGAGGATGATCAGATATCTGGAATTAAAGAAGAAATAGAAAAACTTGAATTAGATACAACTGCTGAATTTGATAATGATAATTCTCCGAAGATTTTATTCGTTTGGATTAATCGAAATTAGACAGAAAAATATTACTAATGTTCCCTCGACTGAAAGGAGGATCATACGAAAAAAAAATAGTTTGTATGTTTGTTTGTATGTTTCGGTCAGAGGTCAAAGGTCAAAAAAAATTTTCTTGAAAAAGGCTCAAAACTTCATGAAACATGATTTTGGAGAGGTGCTGAGGTTAGATCTTGGTGGAGGCGTGTATGGGGAAGAAGCGAAGTCGAAGTTGGACGAATATGTTGAGAGATCATTCATAGCTGCGATAATCAGCGTGATCATATGTTTCCCTCAATCGAAAAGAGGACCATATGAAAAAAGTAGTTAGTGTCAGTGTCAAAGGTCAAAGGTGAAAAAACGTTTATTCTGAAAATGCTTAAAACATCGTTTGGGAGGGGCCCTGAGGCTCGAGGTTGGCTGAAGGAGGGGTGAAGGGGCAGGGGCGTAACAGAAATGAAGAAAACATTTCATCCGCGCCTGAGAGGATGGCTACATAGAAGAGTTGATTACAAAGAAGTAAAAACACACTCGGTTGACTGTCACATACCAAAGGCCAGTAATCCAAAAATACATTCATTCACAAGGTACATACTGGAGAGCAATCTTAAATGCTGACCTTCGATATATTGAAAGTTATTGTAGGCCTTTAAGCCTTTAAGTAAGGAGATAGCCTTAAATGTTCGGACGCGGATAATTTAGCTATGAGATGCTGATGGAATGCTAATTAATTTTCGATACTTTTTAGTAGCACACGGGTAATTATATGATAGATCGGGACAGCTTTGGAGCGGCGAGTTGTGAGTGGCGCTCCTGTGGGGCGCCAGCGAACAACGAGCTGCGCCTGGTAATCTAGCCAGTTACCAAAGTATCAACAATCCGAGACGGTCGAATGCGAAATATATAGAGTCTCATTTGGTTTTACCGAAATTATCTTTCTTTTAGAAAAAGGAGGACATGTTTAAAGGTGCAAATCCATAATAGTCATTTGTAGCGAACTTTTGCTTCCTCTGAAGAGTGATTGTCAGTCGGGAATATCGAATAATTAAAAGGAACACAAGTAGTCTTTCGGTTCTTTTGAAGACTGTGAGGCGAATGAAGATCAGTCTCTGGGGACCCCTTCAAAGGTTATATTTCTGTCTTTTTTTGCATAAAATGCGCATAAGACTATTGTATTTTCAGTCAGTGGTTCAGTCGAGGGCATAGCGAATCTGCCTCGACGAGCGTTACTAGTTCTATCAGACACAAGTAAATGTAAATAACAAAGGAGTTATTTCGAATACATTATATATAGTTATATGCCACGATATAAACTAGACTGCAATGTCTCGTATACATTTTCCAAACGATGCAGTCTATTGTGTTGTATGTACCGATGTGGCCAAAATTTTTCTTATTGAATGAAACACGTATTCGATAGAATATGGATTTTTGCAATCTTTTTTCATTGTGCTTTTAATTTCGATTGAATTGTCTTCTGATTCGGATGAAAACATGGTCGACTAGGTCGCCCAGGTAATTGTGGTCCGGTCGGTTCCGATCGGTTAAGTTTGCTTTCCGATGATTTCGTTGGCGTCGGATTTCGGTCGGAATTTCAAACAAAGTTTCCGATTATTTTCTGGCCACTTCCTGCAAACCTTGAGTCGGAAACGGTCTGGAACAGGCCGGATACTTCCTCGAAACTTCCGACCGGAATACGGCGCCAAGGAACTTGCCGAATCCAGCCGAAACCGTCTCATATTTAAACGGATCCGGTCGCCGGAATGATCGACCTGGGTATCACTGACAATCAACGAAACGAATTGATTCGAAAGGAATTCGCCAATGTTGCACAAAATAACGATATAATTGTAGCGTGTCTACGTACACTCATCACGCGTCTCTATGACGCATTTGTTTTTTTCTATCGTTTTCGCTCGTGCACACATATCTATCCGAGTGTTTTCGTTGTTCTCTCTCTTCTTTTCTTTTGTGGATTTTCCCACGTTTTGTTCTCTCTCTGTCTCGTGGAGTGTGTTTCACAACCAATATAGACAGAACGTTCTTCTTCTCGTTCGTCCGTTAGCGTTTCGTTTTCCTTTTGTTTTGTTTTCATCAATAAACAACAACAAAGTTGAAAAAAAAGCGTCATAGACACGCTACAATAATTGATCGCAATCAAACAGGCACATCTATTTCATTCATAATTATAACAATTGAGCATTTTTCTTCCTCATCTAGTTTCATCATACTAAAGAAACTTGGTCATGATCTCTGTTGAGCGGACGATCGTCATGCCTTTAATGATATTGAGATCTTATATAAGCAATTCCATTTCCTTATCATCGAATCGAATTGAATTGCTCGCATGATTTAAGGTGATGGGCATTTCAGCATGGAAGATGTCATATCGATCGCCGACCGATTACACGAGAAGTGACACGAAGAAGCTAATTCGAATGAATCAGTTGAATTTGGCGATGAGAAGAATGACCTCGTAAGTTTAACTTGATGTTGTGTTTTCTTCTTTCCCAGGTCAACAAATCCGATGCTGGATCCGATCGGATCCGACCATCCGACAAAATCCGATCGGATTCCGGGAAACGGAATTGCATTGGAATCCGACTAGAAAAATCCCGTCGGTTGTTGCAAATTTTATGAGCGATCTTTCTAGCTATATTCTATGATGACCCTTAGAAAATCCAGGAAATCCATGTTTCGGTTCCGACGAGATCCGACGTGGGATCCGATCGGATCCGAGACCGTCGGAATCCAATGCGATTNGTTCACGCTAGCGCTATCGAAGTAAATGGAGAGATTTTTCGAGGATTCTCTGTCACGTGACGGGAGATATATATATGTCTATGTATATCACGAACCGTTGTGAACATTATTTCTTTGCGAGAAAATGCCTGAACAACGTGATCTAACGTCGATGAAAACATCTCGTTCAGCTATATTATATCACCGGAATAACGGCGAACTATCTCCGGAAACAATTGCTCGTATGACAAAGATCCCACTTCGAACTAGTAAATATAATATTGTGAAGATTAAAGAACAAGGTACAATGGAGGACAGATCGCGTTCTGGTCGACCTCGTAAAATGATAACTAATGATAACCAAGCGTTGGGCCAATGGATTCGACGGAATAATGAGATAACGTCACAACAATTAGCAGAAAAACTACTTCGTGACCGAGATCTGAACGTATCCCGATGGACCGTGCGACGTCAGCTCCAACGACTTGGTTATAAAAGTACTTTGCCTCACGGTACATCAATGTCGACTTCAGAACAAAAGGATGCACGTGTTCAATGGGCAATTGAACACCAAAACGATGACTGGAGCAGAACGATATTTACCGACAAAACTTGCTACCAATTGTTTCGTAATACTGTTCGTCGATGGTCAAGAAATCCGAAATCTGAAGTCAAGCGAGTTCCAAAGAACAGACAGAAGATTATGGTGTGAGGAGGGTTTAGTATCAGGGGCCTCCTGGGATTTCATTCGTTCAATACAATAATGGATGGCCCGTACTATGTTCAAATTCTTCAAGATCATCTCATTCGCAATGCTAGAAAGCAATTTGGCGGACGATGGGGACTACAACAGGATAATGATTCGAAGCATAGAAGTCGAGTGGCTCAGCAATTCATGTCGAAAGAAGTGCCTGAAATGCTCAACTGGTCATCAAATAGCCCGGATGCTAATCCAGTGGAAAACCTCTGGCCTATCATCAAGCGTCGTGTCGAGAAACGAAAAGCAACAAATCTTCGAGAATTAGATCTATTTTTGCATCAAGAATGGACCAAAACTGACATGTCCGTCCTAAATCATTTGGTAAATCCCATGAAATCACGATGTTTAGCTCTGGTTGAAACGAAAGGAGAAAGAATCAACTATTAAATGAGATAATGTTGTACCTTCAACTGTACCTCATCTTTGTATATATTTTGTGTTTATATTGATCATTTCATTTTTGATAAACCTTTGAAATAGCGAGGGCAAAGACTTTTGCACCTTACTATATATATTGTACTGAACAAAGGATACAGATATTTCACTGAAGTATATAAACATTTCGAAAAAAGCATTCGCCCCTCGTATTTGTCGATTTTCATTGTGAAAGAAAGGCCCTTTTTTAAAAACCAAGGTGACATTCATGATCAACGCGTCAAGACCTATCGAAATATGTAATCAAAAAAAGAAAAAAAATTGCTTAAATTTTGAATTAGCGCAACCTTATATATAAATAGTTGGGGTTTCACTCCTCTATAGAGATAAAATACGCAAAATACTGTCAATGGGCCACACAAATTTTCCTATTTTTCGATACTTTGGCGTAACTGAATTTTCGCCTTCCGTAGTCAAAAGCGATACAAACCTTGGATACTTTTATCTCAAAATGATCTACTCACGAAACTCTACAAACCCTGAAAATTAGAGCAAATCCGGAGACAGCCGATCGAAACGTGGTACGCTTGCTATGTATTCACCTACTGTATACCTGCTGTGTCGTATGCGCTTCGTGAATGTGAAAAAAAAATAAAAATAATCATTCAGGTATGAACATACATACGTACATAAGGGACGGACGGACAGATATAATTCGTTTAACCTGTTCTCTTTCTGCATGTAAGAAATGCTCGGATTATGCGTAGAAAACAAACACGTGTAGATTCCACTAGTGATATTTTTGTTTTTTTTTTCTTATCGTAAAACGTGCATTTTTATAACAGTAAATAAAACCTAGCATCACCTTTGCAACTGTTATAAATGATTGTATGGGATCTCGTTTGCTTTCTACTTCTCATTACTTTATTATCTGAAGAATATTTATTATGTATTGATATAAATATTTTCTTAAATCAAGTTTCATTCACGAGGAATGATCCGGCACTAATAAATTGCTTTAGAATTCGGACACTGTATATCGAGCAGAGTCTAATGATTCGCGAAAGCGCGAAAAGCTTAGCTACTGTCAGACCTTCTTAGCAGAGTTAGAGTCGTTTCATTGAAATTTCACCCTATAGCACTGTACGTGCAAAAATCTACAATGACACTGCTGAGACCTGAAATTTCGTTCACACGAAAGTTTATTGGTATCTAGAATACCCCGNACGTGGGATCCGATCGGATCCGAGACCGTCGGAATCCAATGCGATTCCGTCACCAGGATTGCATCGGATCCGTCGAATTCCTGTAGGATCCGGTAAAATTCAGTATTGGATCCGATGGGATCCGGTGGGATCCGAGTATGGGATTGTTCGACCTGGGTTACTCTCTTCGATTAAATCGACTTAAATGAGTATGACAAAGAAGTTGAAAGCATGAAAAATTTGTTCATCTCCGTCTATTTATCTTTCTCTTTTTTTCGACCAACATGACCTTTCTTGAATGGCAATGACGGAGGATAACATACATGCAATCGCGGGTAGCCAATTATAAATACAGACTGAAAAGAAAGAAGAAGTTCATTCGTGTGTATTGTCAGTAAAAACAGAGAGCAAGGATGTCTGAAAAAGCAAATGTTAGTGCAGATCAATTTTGAATATCTATCTGATTCTAAATCAAATGTATTTTTTATCGGCTTTAGGATGAAATTCAACTGGTAATCAACATGGCCGAGTTCATCAAGGAAGTCCAGGCTATTTTTGCTGCAAACCAAATCGTCACCGTAGAAACGTTCAAGGCACTGGAAGAAAAACATCATATACCAAAATTGTGATTAAAACGTGAACAAACGATCTTTGAATGAAAGCAAAGGAACAAGAAAAGTCGATCGAGGAAGGGCATGTTGTTTTCATTCATATTGTTATCATTTTGAATATTTCGCTGTCTATATTTTTCTTGACAAACACATGAATGGACTTATTCTCTCTTTTCTTTATGATATGTATCGTAATTGTCGTTCAAGCCGATTTGATCGAAGAGAGCAAAGAAGAAAACAAACAACATAGTGAAACGAAAATTTTCGCAGTCCTATGTATCGAACTCTACAAATTACAAATAGTACTACTAAAACAGCAAGTACTTATCTGAGATCGTTTGCGATGAATTTTCAAAGTTTCCGAACAAGAATATTTAACTTCAGTTTTTAATGTAAAGCTATGGGAAGAAAACGCAACGAAAAGATATTGATAACAAAAAACAAGATGATCGGTCTCGTGCTCACCAAGTTGTTACCGGTTGTGAATTGCGACTAATTCGTCTAAGAGGAGCTTTGTTAGAAGTACGATTCTCTTTCGAGACAGTTCCCCTGCATCCTACATCTATGAACAATTCTACATAACAATGCAACAGTGAATAGATAGTCTTCTGAACAGCTAAAATGCTATATAACTCGAATTGATATTCAGCCTTAAAGACGAATGATAGCGTGACTGAACGGTAAAATCTGTCTCACAATCTCCCACCCATACGACTGCAAGAAACCATCTTGAATATAGTTAATTCAACTTCTAAATGCGAGAGTAAAATGTCGAACTCTCTACTTCGACTCAATTTCGAATATTTGCGAATATAAATCTACTCTCAAATCGTATTTCCAGACTTATAGAAACTCAGTTCGATTTTCGACATTTTTAGTTGACCATCAGCTAATAAATCCTTGTCCACGTGTAGCAATACTAGTGTAAAATCTGAATATTCGATTGTAGGTGGGCAAAATCATTTTAATAGCGACGTGACATCGTACACTTTCAATATGTATATCTCTGGATAAAGGAGTTCGTCTGAAGCTGATTTTTTTACACTACATGTATGCTAAGTTTGTCATATATACCTTGTAAAAATTCAGTACTGGAAAACCTTGCTAGTAGAAGCTGCTGCTAAAAGTCTGTCGTTGACGACGTGACTGAAAAAAGGACATCAAGTTCCATTATGAACATTTTAGTTTCGAAACTGCGAATTTAGACACTTTTCAAAAATCTAATGGTATCCTTTGTAGACGATGGCTTTCAAAGCTACATATCAGCTGTTCAACCTTTTTTCTGACTATATTTAAATTTTCTAAAAGATCCTGTGCATTTGGTGTTAGTGACGTGGCGAAATCGTTAGCAATGTGACAAAGTAGGAGTATATGAACAAAAAATGCTTGTAAAATTGATCGAGCATAGCTTTGAAAATGATACAAATTCTTTCTCAGGATCGTAAGAGTATGCTGAAGAAAAATATTTTTTTGCGGAATTTGATGGGACCTCTAGAGGACCGATTTTGCTGAAAATTTTACCATATATGTGGCTCCAAAGCTTTCAATCGATACAATTGCCACTGCATTTGAATAGTCTACTTTCATGACAGAACTGGTTTTCGGTTGAAATGATAGTTGCGAACAAGTCTGATGTGTTGCTATGATTGCACAAGAATGCTGTGATCTTTGCCTTCAGATAAGATTTCTAGTTGATGAGCAAAAAATCGCAGATATTATTCCGAAACGAATGGTTAAAATGTTCGATTAATTTATTGATTCGCATATATTCTTACACTATGTATTGCATCGAAAGAAGCTAATGACATTGTCCGATTGGAACTCTCCGTCTAAAAAATTGTTTTATGAATAATTTCTCAGTCTTAAGGGTTAGATTAACAAAGTCATCCAATCTCTTATAAAAGCACATATCGTCATAATGATGAAAACCCATTGATTTCAATAAATTCACCTTTTTATTTATATCCTTTCTTGGTCGATGATTGATCGATTTATAACAATTTTTTTTATAGTATTCAACATGTCGATAAGAAGCTTATAGTTGAAGTAATTCACTCTTATCATCGAGAAGAAGGACATATGCAAGATAAAATTCACATTCGAACGAATGAGAATTGAAGGTTATCATCGAACAGTGCTATAAACAGAACGACAAAGTCAACCATGTACATACACTACCATTCATTGCGAATGATGAGTTGAAAGAACACCAGCGTGTTCAACAAGTTATTCCGTGTCAGGTTAGTGGTCGTTTTCACCTTTTCACTTCGATTACAGAAGAAAAATCAATGATTGTATTTCTATNTGTTGCTGATATTGCTGTTGATGATTACGACGTTGACGACGTCTGTGTGCTGCTGTAGTAGTTCTTTGACGTTGACCATTATTTGTTCGTTGTTGTTGTTGCTGTTGTTGATTTGCACCATTTGCCTGATCACTGATGGCAAATGGTTGAGTAGTATCAGTATTACTAGCTGCCGTTGATGTAAAACGTTGACGTTGTGGTAATGCATCAGCAGGTGCAGCATCTGTAGTAGTAGTAGTAGTAGCCAAGTTGAAATTTGAAGCAAGATATTGTGCATTTGGTGAATTATCTCGTAACTCTGATGGCATAAAATCATTTAATCGTAGAGGTCGCGGAATGCGTCGTTGTCCAGATCGACTTCTTCTTGGAGTTGGAGTGGAACCATTTGAACGACTTCTTGGTCGATTTTGATTAAATCGTCGGTTTGGTACTAATGGTCTACTGATCATCATGCCATCATTGTTATAATCAACATTATTAAAGTAAGGCTGTTGTTGTAGGAAATTTCGGTTGAAGAAAGAATTTGTTTGACGACGAGGACGATTATTATAATTTCTATTTTGATTCGAATAGAAATGTCGGTTGCCTCTATTTTGATAACCGTATTGATGAGGGTGGGTGAGAACAATTACCACAAATACTAAAGTATTTTCACTTTTATAGATAAAAGATTATCAAGTGTGAAATATTGGAATTTATTCTTTTTAGAATTAAATTCTTCTAAGTATTTTGTATTAACTCTTCGTGAGTTTCCTATACAAATACTTGCCACTTGATAATCTTTTATCTATAAAAGTGAAAATACTTTAGTATTTGTTCTCACACCCACTATTACATATCTTGTTGTCATTCATTTGATGACAATATGTAACTACAGTAAAACCTCTCTTTGTGAACACCCCTCCTTTATGAACAACCGGTTTAACTGAACACCCTTCAGTCCCCCCGAGCGATTTTTGCTTGATTTGACCCCCTCCTTTGTGAACACCCCTTGATTCTGAATGTGAACGCTTTTTTGGCTCATTTTTCGTTCAATAACCCGACCATTGTGAACATAAGATAGAGGGCGACAGTAAGAAAAACTGAATGATTGGCAGAGAGAGGTGGCTATAAAGAAAGTGCATTGGATGTACGATACATTGAAGCAGATAACAAAGGAAGAGAGAAGAGAGATTAACAAAACACACATACACGTAATTGTGTTAACTAGACGTAGCTTAATTCAAGTTTTGTTGTCGATATGCCTAATCGTAACGATCTTACGTTAGAACAGAAAATTAATTTAATCAAGGAAAATGAAGCTGGCTCATGTTATCGTGATTTACGAGATAAATTTAACGTATCAATCGGTGCAGTATCGAATATTCTTAAAAGAAAGAGAGAATATATGAGTGATTACGAAACTAATTTGAGTAAAAACGTGAAACGCAAAACCAGCCATGACTTTAGCCAATCAATCAACGAATCGGTTTATGAATGGTTTGTTGCTCAACGTGCTAAGAAAATTCCAGTTTCTGGGCCGATTCTGCAAACATATGCGCGAAAAGTGGCTCGAGAACTGGATGGTGAGTCCGAATTTAAAGCCAGTAATGGATGGTTGGAAAGATTTAGAACTCGTTACAATGTCAATTTTCGTGTGATTTCGGGTGAAGCGGCAGCTGTTTGTGAAGAAACTGTGGCTGATTGGAAATCACGTTTAGCAACAATTCTTGAAGAATACAACCCTGGAGACGTTTACAACTGTGATGAGACGGGTCTTTACTACAAGATGATGCCCGATCGATCGCTTGTTGTCAACAAAGAAGACTGTGTCGGCGGTAAGAAATCGAAAGAGAGATTTACGGTGCTTTTGTGTGCCAATTGGGCAGGGAATGATAAACTAAAACCGGTCGTTATTGGTAAGCAATGATCGAAGTACCATACTGTACCAACACCTACTCATTTTCCATCTTCAGGGAAAGCGGCTAAACCTCGCTGTTTTAAAAACATCGACATGAAAAAGCTACCTGTCACATGGTATCATAATCGCACAGCATGGATGAATAGTTTTTTGTTTACTGATTGGTTACAAGGATTGGACTTGATGATGCAGAAACAAAAACGGAAAATATTACTCTTTTTGGATAATGCACCAGTTCATCCAGTCGATGTGAAGCTGGAGAATGTTACTCTCAAGTTCTTCCCGGCAAATACAACAGCTGTCATCCAGCCAATGGACCAAGGAGTTATTAGGACCTTCAAAGCTTATTATCGACAGCAACTCATACAACACATCATCACGAGCTCTACTGGTGCTCAATCAGCAGATGATGTTGTAATTACAGCATTGGATGCTGTCTGTTGGATCGAAATTGCTTGGAAATCTGTCTCGGAAACTACATTGCAAAATACCTTCAGAAAAGCTGGATTTATGACACCATCTGCTCCGACAGATCTACCACCACCACCACACTCAACATCCTCAATCGACGAAGTCATTTCTGCTCAAGAACAGGAGTCTTTGAAAAACCTCGATAAGGTACTTAGACATGTATCCATTTCTGGCACGAGTATGTCAGCAACTGATTTTGTGGTGAGTCTCCTACAGCCATTGGTATATTTGAAGCTGAACTTACAAATTCTTTTTTCAATATTTTAGGATGTCGACGCCGATCTACCTGCATTTAATGAATGGAATGATGATAGCGAAAAACTGATATCTATCCATGTCATTCCAAATGAAGATCCAGCACAAAATGAAGATTTTGAAGTGGAACAACCACCCTCAGTAACAGATGCTATTCAGCTACTTCGTCGGTTAAGATTATTAACAACTGCTCGTTATCCAGAACTTCATTCACTATTATCTCAATTTCAATCGAAACTTATTGATATTTATCTGGATTCCAATAATGTTAAACAGAGATCTATTTTAGACTTTTTCCAGAGTGACGGATCAAAAACCAAGAACTTTCTTTAATTCTTTTCTTCAAATAATTACAGTGACCATATTTGTGATTTCTGCTTAAATAAAATAACTATCTACTTAGCAGGTGTAAACCAATAATCGAACTCATTGCCTTATTGAGTTTTGCTTACACCCCTCCTTTATGAACGCCCTGTTAAACTGAACGGTTTTCGTTCGGTCCCGACGGTGTTCAGATAGGAGAGGTTTTACTGTATGTGATTATAAGAGTTGGATTTTGGTCTTATTCATTTAAGATCATTATTAATTCTTTGAAGCCATCTGATGAACTTCTTAGCAGAAGTGAAATCTAGGTAATGGCAGCTAGTCACACCCTCACCCTTTTCTTACCAAAAAGATCAGAATTAAAAGCTCTATCAACCATAAAAGTTTCGTAGGAATCGGAGAGAACTTTTGTATGGTGTGGTTGAGATCCGGTGGAAATACCCAGATAAAAGAAAGAGGGAGAAAGAAAATGCAAACACAAGTTGGATGTCGCATTCTCGAGATCATGAAAAAAATTGCTTATTATAACTGAAGAAGCGATGAAAATATGTGTTTTATTCCTCTGGATTGTTTTGCATACGAAATGTTTGGCATTGAAATCCATACATCTAACAATTGTCGTCTGTGGGGATCGACTTGATGAAGCATTAACTAGTTTGAAATCTTCGTTAATATTTACACCTGGACCACTTATTTTCCATATATTTACTGAAGATCATTTACGAGAAGAATTTCGTGAAAAAATTGATTTTCAATGGCCACTGGAATATAAATCAAAATTTCAAATAGAATTTTATTCGATTCAATTTACACGTGGAAATGATGAACGTTGGAAAGCATTATTCAAACCATGTTGTACACAAAGATTATTTATTCCAGACATTTTAAAACATATTGATTCAGTTGTGTATACCGATACAGATACATTATTTTTAACTAATGTAAGAAATCTATGGCGCCATTTTCGAAAATTCAACACCACGCAATTAGCAGCATTAACGCCGGAACATGAGGATCTATCGAAGGGATGGTATAATCAATATGCAAGTCATCCTTATTATGGTTCAATGGGACTTAATTCTGGAGTGATGTTAATGAATTTAACCCGTATGCGTGAAGTTGACATGATCAGTAAATTAATGAATATTTTTGATGAATTTCATTTATATATCAGATATGGTGATCAATGTTTATTGAATATTTATTTTCATTCTTATCCTGAACAAATGTATGAGCTTACATGTGATTGGAATTATCGTCCAGATCATTGCATTTTTGAAAATAATTGTGCGGCAGCAAAAGATCATGGCATTCAAATTGTTCACGGTTCTCGGAATGTATTTCATACTGATCAATTCAAAGAATTTAAAGCTATTTATGAAGTTATTCATCGATGGAAATTTGATTCCAATCTAAAATCTTCTCTCTTATCAGAAATTCGAACAAAGTTACGGCCTTTTTCGAGAACAAATTGTGGCAAAACGTCACATTTATTCACCAAACATTTATCAAAAGAAGTTTTATCGTTAACTTCTTCATTGAAAAAAACATTTCATCTTGCTTTTATTGTTAATCAAAACTGGAATTCAATTGAACAACTATCTATTACTCTTAAATCTCTTTCATTCTTTTCTTCAAATCAAAGTCAACGACATCTCCATATCCTTACCACTGATCTTCAAGTAAAACAATTTCTGTCTCAACAAATTGAATCAATAGGTTACTCAATCACATATTACAATACAACAATAGAACACCCATTCCATCTCTGGAAAATTATAAATATCGATCGTGTTGTTTATTTCAATTCGAATATTATTTTTACGAACTCATTGGAAAAAATTTGGGCTTTATTTAATAATTTTAACTTTGAACAAGCCATTGGGATGTTCGGGCAATGTCATATTTCAGCTTCAATGAATATGTTACTCCTTGATTTAAATCAAATGAGAAAATTGAATGTGATTTTCGATGGAATGAAACAAATACCGACAAAGAATGTGTATTTCATTCCATGTGAATATATACTTGATCCGGATCATTGTCAATCGATTCCGAATGCACTATTTCTATCGAATTCGATCGATGAAAGATTATTTCGAGTTTTATATAAATTAATCAATCAAATTGACTTACAAAAAACGAATGATTTAATTGTGAATGAAATCAATAGTATCGATAATTTACCATGCCGAAGTGAACTTGCTGAATTATTTTCAACAAATAAACAAAAATAACTTTTTCTTCCTTTGAATCTGTTCTTGCTCGTATCATTTTCTTTTAATAAAATACTTGAGAGTGACGGTTAGGGTATGTACAAGTGAAAACTACGCTTGCTCTCATCCTCACCGTACACCACACGCACCCATCCACACCCTCCATTTGTATTTCTGTTAGTTTTCAAAGCATAAATTCTAGAGTTGAGGATGCGAAGACAAAAACATCTTTGCCATGTTTTACATTCATCCACATCGTTACACTCAACAAAGTATTTCTTACGAAGCGAAAGAAAAATAACTGTTATACAAAACATATTCTGCTCTTTTATTTTCTAGTTTACTCATTATCGATCTTAATGATTGAGGGGTGGGGTGAATTTCGAATAGAATTTCAAGCTACTTACGACACGTTTCGAAAGGGGCTTAATCCTTTCATCATCAGGTAAGTTTGGAATAACCTATTCTATATTAATAAATTCTCAATTCACAAGTCAACATTATAATAAGAGTTAAGAAAACGCACAAAAATGAGGGTGAAGGTGTGAGGGTGTAAGTCAAAGCACGCCATTATCGCAATTTCATCCCGGCTAAAGGAATCATCAGATGGCTTTAGACTGCGTTAGCTATCCAAATGATTCGAAGATCATAGATAAGCTCACATAATCTGCGTAGTTCGACGTACCGCTCATATGGTTGCGAATGGTACAATATAGATTATGTTCGCTTTGTTTATATATTGAATTCTGGTGCTGGGAAACAATGAGGTAAATGAGTAGTAACATCGGATTAGGGTGACATCTGATGGAATATTAGAGACTGTGTGTTTCGTTGTCTATTGGAGAGTGTTGTTGTCACGTGGCTTTTTGATATGAGAAATATTATATCGGTGCTGGTTTGGCTTGAGTGTGATGTTGCGCACCTGTATAAACTTGAAATCTGATTTTGGGTGCTTAGAGACATGTTCAATAGTGGAAGGATTTGTTTTGAAATATTTAAGTAGTGTAGTACTCGAGTTGTACGGTTGCAGTAGCTGTAAACTGTCCCTGCGCGTTGCAGATCCTCACTTCACTCTTAACCTCTCCGCACTTTTGCTGCACCCTTATTTGCATGCTATCACCGCTGTGCTAAGCTCTTGACGCTCACCCACACCCTCACCCACACCCACACCCACACCCTCACCCTTATGCCACAGATAGACACCATTCCAACTACTTTTCTCAAGAGACCATGTGGCGAGTCTTCGCCCATGTTCCCAATACAGTATTCGCG